CTCAGGTTCCTAGCAGGATAGGGTCTCTATGAATTAAGAAGGAAATACAGAAGAAATAGCAGATTTGGCAGTTGAGAGATAAGCAATTAAAATGAAAATGAAGATAATCCAAATTTTCTGATATTTCTCAATTAAATTGTATTTATTTGGTACTCATTTCATATCCGTATATTCATGTCGGAAAAAAAATGTGGACAAAAGTGATTTGTCTTTTATTTGAAGAAATATGATCTACTCATAAAATCTAAAAATATTTGCATACACAATAAGCTACTCAAAGTTGTGCTATTAGCAGAAAGTATTAATAACAACCAAAAAGAACAACTTGAAGTGTGGGCTCAGGTTTTCAGGGAAGGAAGGAGATAGAATCTGAACTGACTTGAAATATAAGCAGTATTTGGATTGGTTGAAAGTCTTGGTGGAAAGGTATGAGGAACAAATAGTGAGAAAGTGCCCTTTTTTGAGAAGGAACAAATATATCTAATGAAAGAATAGGAGGTAAAGTTAGTATCTTCAGATGAAGGATTTAAGCTTGATCTAATAGGCAATGGAGAAACGCTACATCTAATTAACAAAGAAGATAAACAGCATTTTAGAAAAAACCTTGGGAAAAGAATAAAAGGTGAACACATAGAAGAAACACTAACTCTGCTAATCCTCACACAAAATTAGATTTGAGGCAAGGCTAAGTCAGAAAAAGTAGAAAATGCAATGACAAGGAAATGTTGGGCAGTGATGAAAGAATCAACAGTTTTGTTTCTCTTTCTTATTATTCTAGTCTTTGAGAATCACCAAGAGTCTACGTGGCAGTTTGTCTCACCATAATAGCTGTTTCAAAGGTATTTCAAAAGAGAATAAAAACAATCTTCTCAGAATGGAAGGTAAATATTGGGAAGATTTTCTTAAATAAGGGAACATGTAGGAGTTTTAACTCTATTGATTCTAAATCTGAAGGTCTCTTTCAAGAATAAGGTGCAGAAAACAACAAACTATGGATATATGGAAGAGGAAAAAAGATATGTCCTTAGTTGTGCGAATCTCATGTCTATTTAAAATTACTTTACAGTAACCATAATAGATAACATAAAAGCCAAGGGAGAAACATCCCCAGGAAATGGAGGTAACTTGTGAAAGGAGAGAGCTCATTTAACCTAGTCTGTGTGGTTTCAGTCAGGGTATAAAGAATTAGGCCAAGAAACTGCACTAGGCATAGGAATCAGTTGAATAAACTCATCCACTTCAGACTTCATTTCAGATATCTCATTAGAAACTAGAGGACAAACTAAATTCCAAATCCATCAAAATAAAGTTTACTCTAGCCATCAGTGCCAATAAGCATGAGTGTAAACACTACTTGCTGACTGTAAAAGAGTACTTCTAACACAATAATTGATTTAGATAAATGATGAAGAATTAAACTAATTAACTATAGAAAATATGCACTCTATACTTAGGTACATATTACAGAATTTAGGATGGCAAGACAGAAATAATTTTACTTAAATGGTTTCAACCTTTGTAAAATACACAATATGCTTCTAAATTCGTAAGTAGAAATCTTTCAGCAAAAAATAAAATTATTAATTAAATTTTGTGTGCTTTACTGCCACTTGTACTAGGCAAACATAAACAAGATTTTAAAGATTGTCTTGGTAACTGTTGAAAGTATTAAAAGTGAAAATAAATATTTTTTTTGAGAACCAAAGAAGACAGAGAGAGGGTATTAAGAGGAGCTTTGTTTCAGGCTCAAATTTTGGATTATTTTGAAAGGTAATATAGTCCATCCTGGTTAAGGACTGCAAAAGCAAAAGAATATGTAAACGAAGGGGAAGTAGAAAAGTTTTTTAGTTTCTTTCTAATAAAAAAATTCCAGGCATACAAATATTCTAATAAATAGGGGGAAAAAACCCTAGTATACAACATAAGCCACAAATTCTTTTAAAATCATGTGTGACAGTTCCCTTTCATTATAAGTGCAATTAGGAAGAGCTGACAGCATTCATTTATGCAACCTGAAAATTTATATTACTGTTTGCTTAGATCTAAAAACAACTTTAGGTCAAACAAGTAGAGCGTGAAATTAATTTCACTAATTTTTATTTTAATGGAGGATAAATAAGGTATTTAACTTATAAGTCTTTAAGAAATATTTTAATAAAATACACAGTTATGTCTGGTATATAACATAAGGGTGTATAAGCAATATAAGTTTAACAAGACAATAAGCAGGCATGCAAAATTTTCTAAATCAAGTTTCAATATTAGCAAAGTATATAGTGAAGACTAGAGGTAACTCTAATCATTAATTTACGATATTCAAGTAACACTGAAAAAAGTGTAATTTGTTTTTAAAATACAGGAATTAACAGAAAAAATATTTAATACTAAAATATATAAAGCTGATACAAATCTGAGACTGATTAACCAAACTCCTTTAGACAAGTAGTTAAGAGATACTGAGAGCTTGTACATGAAGAAGCACAGTCAAGCTATTCACTAAATATAGCTTTATGGCTAATAATAGAAATGCAAATTAAAGTTATTGTTTAAAAAACTGTATTAAACTGTATTACTACTATAAATGCATCAAATACTAGAACTTACACCTAATACAAAAAAGCTGTGGAAAATAGGTACATTCAAAAGTTTTAGGTCACACACATCTTTTGGCAATGACAAATAAGAGCTATTAGATTGTTTATATCCTTTAACCGAGTTATTCCACCCTGGAGAATCTACCTAAGCTTATATCCCGAAAGAGAAAAGAAGTATACTGCATTTTTTTAAAGCAAAAATGATGGAAACAACTCAAATATGCAACAAGCAGGGAATAGTTAAGTTATGATGTATAATCCAAGGAGAATAGCATATCTGTTGAAAAGGAAGAACCTCACTTTTATGATAAAGCAAAAAGTATATAACAAAAACTTTTAAGTTAAAAAAAGAATGCAGCATGACATGAAAATACTACTACAATATAAAAAATTTATGTTTACACAGTGAAGATGAGTGTTTTGAAAATAGCTTTTAAAAAGTGTATAGATTTTTCACTATAAAGATAATAATAAAGTTGGTATAAAAATTAAAATGAAGATATAACTTTTGAAGTCATTGATATTTCTAGGAGAGTTTTATAATGTTTGGTATAAGAAATATTCTTTTTTAAAAAGTGGTATCAGGTTTCTCTGGAAAGTCATTTCTGGGTATTATGAAGTAGGCCAGTCTTTGTTATCTGCAATATTATGGCAATATTTTCAATGTGGAATCATACTTTCATGGCTGAAAAACTTAGTTTTGATAAGCTGGAAAAGGAGGTTCCAGACTATATTCAAATATATCAGAGTGAGCTTCTGATGATCAAATGTTTTAATAGTAATAATTTGGCTTTTAAATTAAACCCAAAGCACTCTAATACTTTAATCCTAAGCATTTTAATGCTAAGGATGAAAAATTAAAATATTTGGCCACTGTGAATTAATCATCTTGAAGACATAAGCACATCTTATCAACTGCCAACAGAGATTTGTAAGATCCAGTTCCCCCAAATAATTTTTTTTATGTTCTTTTTGCACTTCTCACCAACCAAGATGCTGCTTTAACTCTGGGCATTTTATAAGTGACACTCAGGTAATGTGGGTTCCTATGACAAATGTGGATCATAAAGCAGGATTAAGAGAAACTTACGTTCTTTAAAGTTTTAAAAGTATTTTAGAACTGATATGAGTCAATAACCCTAACTTTGGAAAGATTTCATATAATTTTCTATAAATCATGACGGAAAGTAAGTTTAGAAAGGCAGTGATAGAAAGTGGGCTTTTTATTGCACATATTCTCTATTAAAACATTATCATATCCCTTTGCCCCCCAAAAGAAAAAAAATCGTAAGAAGGAACTAAGCACATTTAAACAAATAATTCAGTGAAAAAAATCTGATAATTAATCCACTGATACAAAGCATTTAAAATAATTTCCCAATGGAAGTCACCATCCCTTAACTTCCATCAAAACATACTGTATCTTTTAGTGAAAAATATTTGTGGAAATAAAATTACAAAGCCCAAACTAACCTGAGAGCTCTGTACACAGGGATGGCTCACTATAAGGCTGCCTCCTAACCAGCATGGAGTCCGTGCCAGAAAGCTCCATTGCTACACTAAAAAAGTACAGTTTAAGTGAGGTTAATTCTCTGAATTTTCTACCTTTCTAATAAGGTAAATAAAGGAAGACAAAAAGTACCAGTGAATAATGCATGCTGAATCTCTGAAATTATCTTAGTACAAAGGCCAAAATATAATTCTTAAAAACAGATTGGCAAAATACTTAAGAAATAAATTATTATAATTGCAGTACAAGGAGGACAAAAGGTCAGACATTTTGATTACATGAACCTCTGATATTATTTGGCTGTAACATACTTAGCATATTTATAATAATGTCTATTATTATAAATAACTTCACATATGGAATGTATGTAGGCAACACAAGAGTGTGTTAAGAAATAAAATACCTATTTCCAATATGTTCTACTTAAGTATTTGTAAACTTTCTGTACTAAAGTTGAGAGGTTTCTATCAAATTTGAAATATCAGGTATAGCTGTGAAGTATTCACTAAATCAGAATTTTGACTTTCTTTTTTTATCTTTGAAATATTTATTGAGTATTTACTAAAAACAAACCTTCTGTTTTGGACAAAATAATTTCTGACAGAGGCTAGGTTTTCCTCCTTCTCCAACTAAAAGTCAATTTCATCCCTATTTTCATATTGTTTTAACTTAATACTTCACTGCAGGACAAAGAAGAAATAACCATTTTTAAAGAAACCTACTGAGTCAACTTTTGAATAGTGAAAAAAATCGTGTCATTTTCTCTACCGCCAAACAAAAGACAAATTAGACAATCTGGCAATTTTCCTAAGAAAATATAGGAGGTTAAATGTTTTTCCATTCCTGGAACATTTTAATTATTAAGCTTTAAATTTGGAGTACAAAAATGTACTTACTTCCAAGCTGCCTCTCTTTATTGGATTCAGTACTAATAATTTTTTCAGAAGATTTTCACAGTCTGTGGACATATAGAAGGGAATACGGTACTTCCCTCGTAAGACTCGCTCCCGCAGTTCCTTAAAAAATAAAAGAAAGCATTTATAATAGGTTTTTGAAATGATTGTATTTGTGGATGAAAATGGTAATGTCAAATTTAGGTGATACCTTTAAATTCTGGCCATCAAAAGGCAAGGAACCACTGACCAATGTATAGAGAATGACACCCAGACTCCATACATCCACTTCAGGGCCATCGTACTTCTTTCCTTGGAAAAGCTCAGGAGCAGCATAAGGTGGGCTTCCACAAAATGTGTCCAATTTGTTCCCAACTGTAAATTCATTACTAAAACCAAAGTCAGCAATTTTAATATTCATATCAGCATCAAGGAGAAGGTTTTCAGCCTAAGAGAGAAAATAATAAAAAGAACAATGTAAAAAGCCTACATAAAATACAAATATTTATTAAGATAACATATATTTCTTGCTTCTCATTTCTCAATGTAATATAAAACTTAGAAGCCCAGTATGGTACTTTAATGCCTAACAGGTCTAAATGACATCAATATAAGACTGAATTTTAACACTGCAAAAGGAAAACTCTCGTTTATATGCACACATGCAACAATTTAAGAAAGGTTATTTAAAACTCATTTTCTTCCACTGGTTATTTTAAACCCATTTTCTTCCTTATGGTAAGAAACAGTCTAAAGAACATACATAACACGAATCCATCTTGGACTTAAACCACAAGATAACTCAAAGGAGCTCAATTTTAATAACGTATTGTTGGTTAAAGCAAGGCTCCAGAGTATATCTAAAATAACTGCCAGTCAGAGGTTCTGTGACTACTAATTTATTCCTTTGTCCTTTCTTGTAGAATGTTTTCTTAACAAAGTACTGTTTAAGAAAAACAAAACAAAATAAACAGCCTCTATTAGATCGTGTCTGTTTTAAATTTCCTTTTGCTATTCTGAGACTAGATTCTCTTCTTGAAATATATTACACAGAAAGCAGTGAATCCTCCCTCCCATGATTTGAGATGCTTGTTTCTAAAATCCTAAAACAGAAGCACTCAAAAGAGGACATTTTAAATGTGTCTTTTATAAATGTAGGCAACTCAATAAAGGACTCACTTTTGTACATTTGCTGTTTCAAACGCTATGTTATCACTGATGGACAGGTTGCTTTGTAGATGTGTTTTATAAGGCTCCAAAAAGAAATAAAATTTAACTAAATCAAAAATCAGAATTCTCTGTATCACTGAAGGGTTCAGCAGTCATCAGGGCCAGATACTCTGCCCATTATAAAGCTTTTCCCTCCATCATCCCCTTCATTTTTTCCCCCATTTTTTATGGCATACAAGTTTGGGATATTTGTTTTCAGTTTATTTTGGAAAATGCAGATATACCTAGTACCCAAAATATGCCATAAAAATGAAGTATCACTGGTGACATAAATATAAAAGCATATTAATTTGGGAAAATTATACTACACTGTAACATTTTTGGACTGTGACAAAACCAGTTTATTTTGATGTTCTAATTTAAGGCCTGGTCATTGTAAATTTATGAAGCTGTTTGTGAACAAGTTGAATTTTCTCTAGAAATGTCTGAGGGATCAAACAGTCTATCCAGAAGAGGAGAGATTCAGGGCGCCTGAGGTCTCCTTCAGAAGTGCACAGGAAGACTCTCCATTGGACTGGAGGGAAAACACATGGTGTTGAACATTTTTTGTGTGTGCAGATTTTGTTCAGATAAGAAACGAGATGATAAACTGGGAGTCAAACACAGAAATAGGGAATAGTCCCCTTTTTCTTTTCTTTCTTTGTAAAAATGATTTCCCTTAAAATAGCTGAGGAAGGAAACTGAAAAATAGAAAAATTTGGAACAGCAGAAAATTGATAAGCTCAGAAAATGGAACTAGGATACAAAATTAGACTTCTGAATACTGTTTAGGACAATATATTCAAATGTAACACAAACTGGTGCTAGTAACTGACAAAGGTGACGGGAAAAATAAGTAAAAAGAAAAATAAGACTCCCAGGTAAGGAACTATGCAAATTAAATTTAGAAGAACAGAGAAAAAAAAGATTAAATGTTTTAGCCTAGGGAATTTCTACCTTCATCTTTTGAACTAAATCTATGTGGCCACATTTATTGACTAACCATACATTTTGTATTACAAAGTATGCTAGTTTATACTTATCACATGCATGTAGTATTCACAAAAATGTTTCAAAAGTTTCCTTATTTCTTTGAGTTTAAGGTAGAATGAACACTGGCTTTTACATCAGGTTAATGTGAATCTATGCCCTGACCTTGCTTCTGTCTGAAGGGGACCTTCAGGCACTTTCAGCTGGGGACAAAGAACCACATTTATGTCTTTAAAGGAAGCTAATTAATGGTGAATCAAATCTTTTAACTTTTAAAGCTAGAAAATCTCTCATTTATATTTTCTTCATTTGTTCAGTGAAAATATTACCTTTCATAAAATTGCCAAGGTACCTTGAATAGTGTCTGACAGTTGGGCAATCAAAAGAATGACTATAAAATTATCAGTAAATATCTCAATGATGAAGAATTTTTTTTTGTTATAAAATCAGCAGCTTACCTTAAGATCACGGTGAACAATGCATTTTTGATGACAATACTGTACAGCAGATACAATCTGAAAGTAATATTTGGAAAAAAGAGTCAAAATTATTTTGAGGTAAAAACACCCCAATTTCTCCCAATCATCACCTCCAATTTAGATACACTGCTAACTCAGATTTCAAAGTAATATTTAACAATTCTACTATTCCTTTAGTTCAGAAAATTATAATCATTAAAGTGATAAAACTTTTCCTTTCAAATGTAGAAAATGTAGAAACTTGATATTCTCTTGCTAATATACAATAAAATATTTCTTTGTCAGTCTGAAGATTTTGTATGGGTCATTATACTTCTCTGTTTACATGATTGAATGTGTACAATTTGTAGATTTGGTCAAATGGTTTATTACAGTGTTGAAATAAAAACTTTGGTACATGTGAATTAGTTAAAAAAGTAAAACTCTATTCTAGGAATTACATCACATGTTCAAGGTATGTTTCTTTAGTAAGGCCAATTTACTAAGAATTTATCAATAAGGTATTTAGCAATACCATCTATTTATCTGTTCATATATACAGAGAAAGGAAACATTTTAAGTCTTAAAAACAAATCTCATCATCAAAAGAAAGGACGGGGAAAATGAAACTTACATTTTAAACTGTCACTAACTAATTCAGTCAGGCAGAGTATTCTATACCTGTAACTACGTTTTGTATGCAGCTATAATTTTTAGTCATTACATAGGGCTCTGTGGGAACAAGGGCTAAACAGGAAGAAACTAACAGTTTAAAGGTAAAAGATATAAATGAGAAATAGATTATAAACAATCCTATGATAGTTTCTTATTATGTAAAATACAGAAATGCAAAGTATCTGACAGCAATCAATTAAGAGCTATTTTGTACATATAATTATATCTGATGAATAGAAGGGTGACCATTTTAATGCAGAGCATAACATTCAATTCTGTGGATTCAGTTAAATGTAAACACAGTTTGAATGTTCACTGTTGGTTAGGCATTTACAAATGGAGATAGAAATGAGATTTTTAAAAAGTCTAAAGGTAATGTGAAGTATGACCATGCTAAGAGGAATGAAAGTGAAAAAAAGGAACTTCAAAGTAGAAGTGAAACTGATATTTCAGCATTATAAAATTATTCTAATGTGTATTAAATTGATTCAGACAGAAAACATGAATTCAAAACAAAATCATCAACACACAATGAGTAATATATATTTCAACTTCATTCATTTTGATTAAACAGTTATTGAGTACCTGCTATGTGCAAGAAAACGTGCTGGTTACTAGGCAAATATAAAAATGAACCCTACATGGACCCTGCCATTAGGATCTTACAATCTCATTAAGAAATGAAAACATGTATGAGAGTAACTATAATACAAGGTAGAATCACAGAAGCAGAGGTATAAAGAAGTGAGAGAATCATAAAAATAATTTTAGGTGGAAATGCTTCCTGGAGTAGGCACTATTTGATCTAGACCATCCTTGAAGGGCAGCAATATTTTAAAACATGGAGATTTATGGGGTTGTGGGGGCAAGAAGGTGAAATGCATTAATAATGAGGGAACACAGCATATTCGAAAAGTAGATGGAAAAATGGTGACAGTGGGAGTCAAACCTTGATAGACAGTCTGGCAAAGATTTCTGAATTACAAACTAAGCAGGTACTTCAGAACTACTAAATGTTTTTGAGTGGGGTAATGGTAAATAATTATGATTAATTTGAAGTGTGACTTCTAAAAAAACAACAGAACCTAATGATAAATATTTGTAGTATTAGTTTTCTTAAGAAACATGCTTCAAAATTCTAATACCCAATTTTCACTAAATAATGTTCACTGCTGCTCTGCAGTAACTTATAAGTGGGTCAGGAATTCCCATGCTTGAAGTAACAGCTTTGATACTAGAAGAGTTAAATCAATGTTATTATTTTTTTTTGCAGGCGGATGAAGAAGCATTGCGAGAGAAATGGCTGCTAGGTGGTCTTAAACTGCCTTACTGTTTTTGGTGGTATATCTAATAGCAGAGCCAAAAGACATTTACATTTATATGTATATTTCATTGGACATAAGCTATAGTTATAGTATGTTCATATTATAAGATTTTTTGTATCATGGATGACAAAAATTTGCCAATAATTATTTTATCTTTTACAAGTCACGTGTTTGTATGATCCAGTGAAGGCTTGTGACAGATGATAATTTGGTTACCAAATATAATTAGAGGCCATAAATTTTACCTCAGACATAATGGTCTCTATGAGAGACCACTGGAATCAAAAGTTTTCAGAGTCCTACAGCTTCAAGAATGGAAAGATAATTTAAAAGAATGCTCTACATTAAATGTGCATTCCCCCCACTATGACCTCTGAGCTATCAGTCAAATGGGATAGGTTATGCTATTACCATACTTGCTTAGCAGGGTACAATTTCTGCCATGAAGGAAATTCTTGCTTCTCACTGTGAGAACCCCCATTCATAAGCCCAACTTTTATAGCATTATTCTACGGGTACACCTTCCCATTGTAAAACATTTTGTATTTCCATAAATAGGACATACGAGCTTCCCAATGATCCTTTTATTATGGATCTTGAAAAAGTGATTTACAATTAGCCTTGCACTGACCTGAAGACTACATATGTCAGTGTTTTCCATTGAGATAAAGTTATTAGAGCTGCTCTGCAGTAACTTATAAGTGGGTCAGGAATTCCCATGCTTGAAGGAACAGCTTTGATACTAGAAGAGTTAAATCAATGTTATTATTTTTTTTTGCAGGCGGATGAAGAAGCATTGCGTGAGAAATGGCTGCTAGGTGGTCTTAAACTGCCTTACTGTTTTTGGTGGTATATCTAATAGCAGAGCCAAGGACACATATATGTATGTCCTTGCTAATGCAGTACATTCTTTCACAGTTAAAATTTATTAAAAATCATAAAATATAGAGCAAATAAAAATAAAACTAAAGGTATACTCATTAATCCTCCAAGAGTTTAAATCAAATCCATCAAGGGAAAAAAGCTTCAAAAATAAATATAATCTTTAATCAGATAACTACAAAATGTGTATATGTTGGGGATATGTCTGTGTGTGTGTGTGTGTGTGTGTGTGTGTGTGTGTGTGTGTGTGTGTGTGTGTGTGTAGCCCTGTTTCTAAACATGTGAGTTATTAACCTTTCTAGTTATGGAGGAACACATATAGATATTAAATATATTTAATATTTATAATAAATGAATAATTACATAAAAATATTTCCCACTGCTTTACAATTTAAATAGCATTCATTTGATACTCAACCTCTGCAATGTGAGGAATATGAAGTTGATTTCAAAATAACTCAAACTTTATTTGAAAAAAAGTCAATTTTTAATTATTTGTATCGATATGGAAATACCTGTGTTTCAATTTCCTATCCTGCTCCTGCCCACCAGTAAAGATGGCAAGCTTTTCTAAACATCAGGCATTTTCAACTTCTCTAATTCCATATAGTACCCAGTACAATATTCTACACTTATTGAAAAATAAAACTAGCTGAGTAAAAAATAAAGATAAGTAGCAATAAACTTTAAACTATATATTAAGATCCCAGTGGAAGTATTTAATGACAACTGGAATTTTCTTGGTGGTCTACTAATTAAAACAACTATAACTGAAACTGAAACAATAGTAATGTTTAAAATGCTGACTTGTAATGCTTTACTTAAGGGTAAGCTTGGAATTCCATCCTATGATGAGAAAGAATTTAACAGGATGTGGCTGCATGCCACTCAGTTTCTTAAAAATGTTTTCCTCATTAGTAGTTGTCTTTACATTCAGCTATCTTAAAATAGATGCTTTCAGGAATCTATTCTTAATAAAAGAGCTATGTATGCCTTTGGTATATAAACCATTTCACAAATTGTTTACCAAAATGTAGTAATTCTGTGAGATAGTAATAACTAAATTTCCATAAAACAAGCAAATTCATTCCATGATCAATCTGGAGAATGTTAAGTCAAAAAAGTTAAACAGCCATTTTCTTTCCCTCCTTTTCAGGACTTTTCCAATTGTATAACATGTTAACATGAATGTAAATATCTTAAAGGAAGATCTTATATCAGTATTCAGTGTTTCCCAAACATATTGACTACAGAACCCCTTTAATTATAGAATCAGTGTTCATTCTTACAGAAGGGCTGTGTGTCATTTTCTAAATGAGAATTCTAGTTCCACTGAGAGAAAATTTAGGATCTGGTAAGTTGTCAGCTGAAACTTTAGTAAATTTATGAAAATTTACAATTCATTAATTTGTTATTTCCATAGTAATTTATAAGTACGCTTATTTTAATCACTTCAGTCCTAAAAATTAAAAATAAAATCCTAGGTAAATTTAAATTATTTTTATTTCTATAACAGTCATATTCAAGTTGAACTGGATATATAAATATCTTATAAATACCTTACCATATTCCTGTTCTACATTTGCAAGGCTCCTGGCCTACTAGGCTAAATAAAATTGACCATATTCTTTAAATGTACAAAAATGAGTTTAAATACCAAGACATCTTTAATTATAGGTAATACAATAAACCTTTTAAGCAATACACATATATGCTATATACATAAAGCCAATAATACTTCATAATAATTACTGGATAAGGGCATCAAAGGATTAAATATTTCTTTTCCATTTCAATCTAGTCTATATTTCCAAGATATTCAAAGAGTTAATAAGGTAAGTCTCACCTATAAAAATTCACTATTTACGACCATCTAAAAATAACCATCTGTAACTATTTTAAATTTAAAATAATAAAGAATAGGTTCATTTTTCAGAATTTCTACATTCTTAAAAAGTGTAAGCAGGAATTTTTTCTTAAAATACCATGTACTATGAAGTCTAGTTTGTAATACTGTCCAATGTATTATCACTAAAAATATCAGCAAAACAAAGTTGAAAACTACTTTCCATACCTGCCTAAATTTTGCACGGGCCTCTTTCTCTTTCATTCTTCCATGGGCAACTAAGTAATCAAATACTTCACCTGAATCAGAAAGGTAAAGCAGGTAGTAAAATATACAGAGATTTTCAGTTAACAATATATGCAATGTCAAGTTTTTGCCTTGTTTTTAAAGAAACTTTCGGCCCACAGTTTTCAGATGCTCTGTTTAAGTCACAAACTAACACATGAATAGAAAAAAGGGAAAAAAAATACAAACAGAATTGAATATCTGCAGCAGCTTATGATTTAGCAAAACTCTTTAAAAAATAAGTAACAAAAACATAATAAAAAAACTTGCTTTCTGTTTTCAAGTATTATGTAAAAATACAGTCAACTCTTTATTATCCATTCCAGTAAAGGGAAGCCACCGCCTGGGCAATCAAAAATTACATTTGGTTTTGTATTTGGGGGTTACATTTCAAACAAAATAATAAAGTTTCATGTTGATTGTTCTTTTAAACCCTACTCGTCATGTAGTCTTGATAAAATTCCACTTCCATTCTCAGTGGTTTATCACTTTTCTTCCCATACTCTAATTATGCGTATTCTCATTCTACTCATTTCATGTATTTTGGTGGCTAGCCACAAATTATACAGAATTAAATCATCCGTGTATTCAGCTCTATTACCTCATATGAAATGTAAACTACCTGGACACCATCATCATGTCTGTACTTCATTTGTATCTTCATCTCCATGATAGAATACAAAGTGGACAGACAACAAATATTTCTTGAAATAATTTAAAAATAACTAGAACCTGTAGAAATTATGGGATCCATGATTTTACATCTATACGTGTTTTCACTTTTCTCTAGTCAGTGATAGTTTAAAAACAAATTAATATTTAGTTACAATATTAAAAATGTTATCTTAGTGTAAGGGATAAATTTCTTTTTTATTCTTACATTTGCACTATAAGATATACACGTACACTAAAAATTCACTAAGTGGTTTAAAGAGCTCTTATAAAGTATAGCAAAGTGGTAAAAACAAAACAGAAAACCTCAAGCTTTAAAATCAGACCAATTTTGGTATATCCCTAAGTAGCTACTGAGAGACATCAGGAAGATTTCTTAACTTCATTAAGACTCAGTTTCTACCTACGGCCTATTCACGTGGCTATTGTGAGGATTAAATGAAATAATGCATGTGCTTAGCACAGTGACTGGCAAATAGTAAGCACTCAATAAATGATATACTTGTACCTAGGTATACAGATATATCACATATACATATATGCAATATCAATCCTAGGATATAAGTAAAATATTAAAAAATAAAATATGTAATGAATGTATGTCAGATGAAACTAGAACATCTACAATGTTAGACAGCAATTATATCAAGCATACTTAAGTGATTAAATGGAATGATGAAAACAGAGAAATGAATGGATGCTCTCGTTGACTCAGTATAGTTAATGTAAGAAATATGTTAATAATTGTTAATTCTAATTAACCTACAAAGTAGTTAATTATAGATCTGTGAGTTTAGGCTGAGAAAGATATATGCAAGAGTTCAAAAATGTGAATCTATTCTCTCTCTCTCTCTTTTTTAAAAATCAGAGTCTCACTCTGTCACCCAGGCTGGAGTGCAGTGCCATGCTCACAGCCACCGCAGCCTCAACCTGCTAGGCTCAGAAGATCCTTCCACCTCAGCCTTCCAAGTAACTGGAACCAAGGCACATGCCATTATGCCCAGCTAGTCTTTTTATTTATTGTAGAAATGAGGTCTCACTAAGTTGCCCAGGCTGGTCTCGAACCCCTGGGCTCAGGCAATCCTCTCGCCTCTGCCTCTCAAAGTGCTGCAATTACAGGCATAAGGATCTATTCTTAAGTTTTTGCCTGGAATGCTCATACCCCATATATTTACATGACATAGTCCTTCATTTTCATATATTGTTTACATGTCATTTAATTTCCAAATTAGAATGTAAACTTCTTGAGGGCAGAAACTTTGTCTTTGCGCACCCATGTAGTTCCAGCACCTAGAATATTATGTAATACATAATAAGCATTTAATAAATATTGTCTGCATGAACAAAATAAAGAATAAATAAACCATCCCAGAGTAGCCCTGATACCTACTTTTTATAGGTTCCTTTGGATTAAATGTGGTTCAAAGCAAAAAATTATTTCTTTGATTTTCTAATCACTGAAGATTTTCATTCCATTAATCAACTGGAATCAATTGACTGACTCCTGGCAAAGAGGCAGTTGTCTGACTTAGCTCTTATTCTTTTCAAGTCGGAGGCTTATTCTATTGCTAAGGTGTGTAATAGTATGCTTACAGTCTCTACAGACTCTGCCTGTTGGGTTCAAAAGATTCTTCCACCTCAGTCTTTCATGTAACTGGAACTACAAGTGCACAGCTAATTTTTTTTTTTTCTTATTGCAGAAATGAGGTCTCGCTAAGTTGATCAGGTTGGTCTTGAACTCCTGGCTTAGGCATCCTCTAGCCTCCGCCTCGAACAGTGCTGGGATTACAGGCATGAGCCACTGTGCCTGGCCTGATTTAGCTGTTGTTCATACTTGATTTCTAGTGTGCATGCCAGAATCAATCCTAAAATATCTAGACATTTCAGAGAAAAAGTACTCAGTGTTTTATTTCCAGAGACACCTTACCATTTACAGATTTAAAAAGCAAGAAAATGATTATGAATTTAGGCTACAGCACCACGATGTTTTGAGTTACAGAATCACTGAATGGGAAGACCCCCAAATATCCTATCACCAGGAATCAGAGTTGAATGACGGACCAGTTGATTTGGTCTGAATTCCAGGACCCATCTCTCTACACTACTCCCCACTGCACCTCCCAACTATGCTATTGAAGGAGAGCAGTGATGATCCTGCATTCTCTGTATTACTCTAGCCATTGTTCCCCTTCATTAGCACCAATAGAGAGTTGACTGTACTTACCATTAACTGTTAAACTAACACATATAATATTAGCACAGCCTTGCAGTAGACCTTTATAAAAACAGAAAGGTGTCCACAGATTTTTAGTAGGCTATAATTTCTCATATCAAAGTGGGTATAGCCTCTTTCTCTAAAACATTACATCACTAAAAGAAAAAAAATTCTAACTGAATTAAAAATAATATTCAGGGCCGGGCTCGGTGGCTCAGCCTGTAATCCCGCACCTTTGGGAGGCTGAGGTGAGTGGACTGCCTGAGCCCGCGGGTTCGAGACCCACCTGGGCAGCAAGACCTCATCTCTACTAAATCAAAAAATCAGCCGGGTGTGGTAGGCGCATGCCTGTAATTCCGGCTACTTGGAAGGCTGAGGAGGAAGGATCGCCGGAGCCCAGCACGTCAAGGCTGCGGTGGCCGGGAGTAGCCACTGCACTCCAGTCTGGGCGACAGAGTGAGACTCCAACTCAAAAAAAATAATAATAATAATAATAATAATAATATTCAGGGTTCCTATGCAGACAGATTGTTATAGGAAACTAACAGAAGGATAAAACACCAGAGAAATAGTTCATTATATGGTATTTGTAGGCTCATTAATTTTATTATAGACTTACACATTATACAAATTTGCATGAGTGTTTTAATATAATTTTTCTAATATAATAATAATAGTAAACAATGATAACACAGATTTTCAGGTTAAATTAAAAACTTACATTAAAATATTTTAGGGTGACAAAAGCTTTGCAAAAAAGCTACTAAAATATGTGTAAAAAATTGAAAAAGCAATTAAATATACTTAACATCTATAATAAAATATTTTAGAAATATGAAACAGTATAAAGATATATAGTTTAGTTGCTGTAGACTAGAATAAATGCCTTTTATCCTAGTTTACATAAAGCAAAATCAGCATAAAGATCTACAAATATTATTAGTTAAAAGGGCTTAGCAATCAAATTCAACACTGTTGTTGAACTTATTGACTAGTAAAAAGTTAATCAGCCAAATTATTTCAGTTGCTCTCTTCTTCAATTGCTTAAATTCTGAGCCCTTAAAACCTTCCTTTAAGTATTCTTTTATTTTACTAATTAAATGATTAACTCCATAGATTTTAAACGCATTTTTGAGAAATAGGTTTCTATGCCTCACCAGAATTGTGATTTCGAGCTGATAGATTTCTCATTAAAGGGAAAGTGAAGGAGATAAAAGTGACTTTCTATTAACTATCAGTGTTTAAAAATCATTCCTATTTCTATCTCACTGCCATCTCATAAAATGTATAGATCAAATACTTGCTTAACTTGAAATATTTTATGGATTATCTTGATAATGTATGTATATTGAGAATCTGTCATATATGAACAATCAGTGAAATTACACTGATCTATAACACGCTTTCACTATAGATTTTATTACATACACTCTGCACTTGAGAGTCCCTGCTTATAGCCAAGAGCTTCTAATCATGATATATTATAAAAACATAATAAAATTTAGATAAGAATCAAAACATTTATAATATGACAATAAATATTTAGAGTTTCAAAAAAGTCCCACTAATTTTTAAATAAGCCAAAAATGATATTTATGATATAGAATCAAAAGGTCTTGAAAGCAAACACTGAATTTTCGTTAAGGTATAGCTTAAAGGCATTTTAATGAAACTATACATTCATTAAGAACAGTGAAAACATTAGTGTCATAATGAACCTTTAGGTGTTAATAATTCTGTAGGTCTCATCAAAGAGAACTTTTAAAGCCCCTTCATCCTTACCACCACTGGCGTATTCCATGACTAAATAGAGGGTCTTCTCTGTTTCAATAACTTCAAACAATTTTACTGAAAAAAGAAATTAGAGACATAACTCCATAATTGTTAGCATAGATTGAATATGCTTTAAGAAAATCTAAGGTAATACTAAACCAGTAGAAAATCTGAGTATTTACTAAACATTATTAATTACAATTTTAGGTTCAAAATGTCTCTCAAGGGTTTTTTACTCCTTGGAAGAAAACTACTTACCACAAAATGACTTGGAACCAACTTCTTGAGTTAAGAGAGTTAAGTTCCTGGGATCAAAAAACCATTACCTTTCAAATTAGAATAAGGTAATAAAAAAAGAAATCTTAAAATCAGACAACCAGAACTTTAACCAGTGCTTAAAAAGAGACTGTTATTGTGAGTTATCTTAAAATGCTAAACAGTCCTTGATACAGAAACAAAAAATTCTGTATTTATGTGATATTATAAAAGTTTCTGGGTTAAAAAAAACCCAAAAAATTAGTCAGGCGTGGTAGTGAGCACCTGTAAGTCCGGCTACTTGGAAGGCTGAGGCGGAAGGATCGCTGGAGCCCAGCAGGTCGAGGCTGCGGTGGCTGGGAGCGGCCACTGCACTCCAGTCTGGGCGACAGAGTGAGACTCCAACTCAAAAAACAAAAAACAAAGAAACCAAAAAAACCCCCAAACTTCTGAATTATTAAACTTATGCAGTTGAAATCATTCATTTTAAAAAATCACATTAACGGCTGTAAAACAAACAAGATTTTCAAATGTGCAAACAAAAGTTTAAAAATAGAGATTTAAAGCAGATTTTTTGCTTCTTACAGTCAAATGATTTTATATAATAATATATCTGATCAATAAACTTATTTATAAAAATGAAATTTTTTTAATCAAGCAAAAAACCAATTAAAAATAAATATAACATGCAAAAATAAATCAATAAAATGTCACCCTAATGGAAAAACCTACTTAAGGCTTACCTATTACAAAAAAACTTGCCGTAGCCATCCTCAATAATTCCCACACAAAATCAGGACTTGCCAAAAAAATTTACTAAAACTGAAATCCACTTTTTATTTTAATGCAAATAACTATGATCAAACCCAAGTGTACAGCAGCAAAATATCTGGGATTCATTTTTTAAAAATACCTAAATGAGCCGGGCTCGGTGGCTCAGCCTGTAATCCCACACTTTGGGAGGCTGATGTAAGTGGATTGCCTGAACCCGCGGGTTCGAGACCCGCACAGGCAACTTGGTGAGACCTCATCTCAACAATAAATCAAAAAATTAGCCGGACGTGGTAGCGCATGCCTGTAGTTCCAGCTACTTGG